TTTACATTAGATTTCTTCACATTGTTTAATAAATGAATGTCCCATATAGATAATTAAAAATACGTTGTCAACTATTTCAAAATACTTTGATATTTTGATTATAACTTATAATATTTTGTAATATGATTTTATGATCCTTCTAGCTTTTTGATTAAAGGTTTCATGATATAGTCCTTTATCAGTGCTTCAATAAATTTAAAACTAGTTGCTATATTACTATATAGATATATTACTGGACTATATTATTGGGCCAGGTGTCTGAGGTTATTATTATTTTCTCTGGCAAAAGTTGAATGTTTTTTCAGTATATTTTAAAACATAAATCTAAAGTAATTTCGAATATTTTTCGTCCGATTTCCTCACACTGTTTAACGGATGGATGCCCAGCCCATAGAAATAATTTTAAAAATATTGTCAACTTTTTTGAAAAACTTTAATATTTTGATTATCACTTTTACAAATATGATTTTATAATCTTTATAATTTATATTTTATTGCGAACGATTTTAAAACAATTTAATACTGGTACACTGTGATAGAAACAATGCATAAACTAACTTTCAATACTACTCTATCATCATTGAGCTCATTTTAAATGACGAGCCATGACATTTTTTAACATTTATACAAGTTTACTTTATTATTATTAACGTTATTGTAACACATTTCCTGTGATGAGTATTGTGACGTCATATATTCCAAAATAATTATATTATTTGTAAAATATAATTTTTTTCATTATTTTATAACGCACAAACACATTTGTAAAACAATATTGGTTATGGAATAATAAATTGATTGTTATAAAAAATTATAATTGATATTAAAAATAACTAAGAAATGAACAATAATGAATTAAATTTATCAAATAATGATATTTTCATCCCTCAAGTCATTTTTCGTCCAATTTTTTATTATTCATTCATTAACTCTTTCATTCAGTAACTTTTAAATCAATAATTCAATAAAGAAATAAATGTATCCTTTCTTTCTTTGGATTTATGGCCTTCTTTCTAACGAACGCATCAGCAAACGGAGGATGTTAATTAATAAAATACTTCTAAGTAGATTATTTTTTGATGTCTTCTGTAATTTTTTCAAAGTTATTTCCATAACGGCCGTTATGTTGGGTCGAGACTCGAGTGCCTTACTTTGTTGTTTGCATTGTAGTTTGGTCCCATTTAGAGGTTGTTTTTTGGACCCGTTGGTTCTTTGCATGGGTTTGGGCAGGTTAGAATCCTGTTCAGAAGCTCCAATTTTATGCTGTAGTGGTCGGCGAGACTTATTTTGTTGTTTTAATAGCCAGTTAGTTCGTGGCAGTGGTTTTGGCTGAAATTCAAGAGCCTGTTGCATGAGTTGTTGATCCTGAGACAGTGGTTTGGTGCATTGTATATGTTTTTGTTGTATAACTTTCAGGCTGTCTGCCAATTCAATAGTTTTTTGCTGGAGTGGTTGTTGCTGGGATCGTTTAAGTCGTGGCAGTGGCTTGGGGGCTTGTACATTTTGTTGATTTATACCTTGTAGGTAGTCTGTCGATGATGAGGTTTTATCAGCCTGCTGCTTTGGTAGTTGTTGTTCGGACCATTTACGCCGAGGCAGTGGTTTGGAGGCTTGTATATCTTGCTGTTGTATATCTACAAGGTTGTCTGCCGGTGATGATGACGATAATGGTTCAAGCGACTCTCTTTTTTCCATTTGCAATTTGTAATTTTCGTAACACTCACGCGACGTTTTCTTCACTTACTTTCTAATTATCGTACCACAGTTTTACAGTTGTTGCTATAGATGCTTTAAGCTAGAGATAATTTGCTCAAAACGTGGACAAGTTGTTATAATAATTGCAGCAATAAGTATACCAATGCATTCAGTAGTTAGAAATATCTAAATTGCTGTTTGGTAAATTAACAAATTATATTCCTCTATATATACCCAAAATACAATGTGACTTTTACATTATGGGTAATAACTTTGCTTACAACTTTTCTTTATTTAACAATGATTGTTGTTTACTGACTTTGATTTTATTGATATCGATAGTATTTGACTTGATTGACTTTCACTCTATATCAACATTCAAAGTGAATATTAAACAAAAGTATTGTAAATATATTATTTTTTCATTGCTTGTAACAAAAGAATTGTAAAAATTATTATTTTTTTATTGCTTATTTTTTCATTAAGATTATTATCATTAATAATATTAACGTTATGATTGTTAATTGGGTAATTTTTATTTATTCGTACTTTCATAAGATAATGATTGTAAAAAATAATAAAAAATAATTCAAAATTTGATACTACACACTTAAAAATATTTAATTTTTTATTCTTTTTAACAAAGTAAATATGAGTATGAGTTGATCAATCAAATTTAAAAGGATTTTACTTTATTAATTCAATAGAAAACAATAATAGTTTTAGTGTTTTATTTCCTGATAGTGTCATTTTAATCGCCCACCACACACATGCACACACATTATCACAAACTTTAGCACAATTATTACATTTAAAGTGCATATGACTATTTATTCATTCGTTCGTTTAAATCATTATTGGTGATGAAATAATATGTAATTTGTAATAATAATTATTTACCAATTATTACAATAACTAAAAACAATTATTACATTCAAAGATCATATGACTGAACTTTACTAAAGGATTGAAACTGTGAAATGAAATTATCAAATAGTCAAACGATCACCATTCCAGTCATTCAGTCGTTCAAACATTTTACTATTTATTCATTCGTTCAATTTTTTTTTCCATTTTATTTCTATTTTTCATCTTTTGAATTGTTTTCTATCCTCATTCATTTATTTATTCATTCGTTAGTTCGTTCAATTCGTTCATTCTTACGCTTGTTCGTTCATTCGTTCAATTTTTGTTTCTTTATTAAGAACATTAACATTTTTTCTTTCTTCAAATTCAGTACTTGCTCTAGACGAACTCTTCAGCTCCATTTTTGTTTTGTGGTCTTACGTTAGGCCTATTTTGTTGTATTTTAACCTGATCAGTTTGTGGCGGTGGTTGTGGTTGCAATTCAAAAGCCTGTTGCTTGGCTGGTTGTTGCTGGGACTGCCAGGTAGACTGCCGATGATGAGGAATCAAAAACCTGCAGCTGGGGTTTTGGTTTCTGGAGCATTTTAAGTCGCTACAGTGGTTTGGGGGCTTGTATATGTTTTTGTTGTTGTATAAATTCTGATCTTGGTTGGAGGTTTTGCTGGGACCGTTTAAGTCGTAGCTCATTTAAGCATGCATCTATTTTTTATTCATTTTCAAAAACAGTCATTCACTCACTCAAGCATGCTTTCACTTTTTTTTCATTTATTTTTGAATCAGTTGTTCAATAAATCAAAAAGTTATTTATTCATTCATTTCATCAACCGTTAAATTGTTTTTTTATTATTTTCTTTACATTTTCATTTAAATTTAAAATTTTTCTTTTCTCCACTCTATCATTCGATCAATCTATTGTTGTTGATGTTATCTCATTATTACAAGTTATCCATAGCGATTAATGTGACGCAATAATTTCCTAATTAATTAGTTAATTTTCAAAAAACGAGCACGATTATATTTTTCAACTTTTTATTACATTCAAACAAATTAAAAAAAATTTATTCGTGTTGAACAAAAAAAATAGCTATAATGAATATTAATAATTAATACTAATAATAATAACCAATAATAATATTAATCAATAGACGTATGAATGGAAGCAGTTCGTAAAACATTAAAACCAGTGAAATGAAATTATTAATTCATTAATTCATTCGTTCGTTCGTTCATTCATTCATTCATTCATTCTTTCAATAAATACATCTTTTCTTTCTTTAAATTCAGTGCTTTGCCTTAAACGAAGTCCTCAGCAAACGGACCGTGTTCGCTAATAATAAACATCTGTGAAGATTATTTTGTTCTTTTTTTGATGCCCTCTGTAATTTCTTCGAAGTTATTTGCATAACGATGGAAGCGGTAATGTTGGGACTAGACTCAAGTGTCCTATTCAGTTGTTTTTCTGAACGGTTAGTCAGTGGCGTAAGTTGGAGCCGGTTTGAAACAGTATTATTAATATTATTATTTTTGTTTATGTCATAATTTCTAAATGCATAATTTTTTGTATGAATTTTCATAATTTAGTGGTAGTAATAAGAGTAATAAAAGTTTTATTATTAGTAGAAGTAGAACATGTAGCAGCTGTAACAAATGCAGCAGTTTTAGTATTTGGTAGTAGTATTAGTAGTAGTAGCAATAGAAGTAGTAAAATTTAGTAGTTTAATTAGTGGAAGTAATTTATTCGTAGTAGAGTTTTTCAATTCTTTGAGTTCCATGCATTATCAAATTTCGATCCTTACCATAGCTTTCAAAAACGTGGGCGTCCTACCTTTTCAGCTAATTTCACACATGTTATTAGTAGTATGTAGTGTTGCAGCAACAGCGGTTGTAGTTGTTATAGAATTTTATTAGTAGTAGAAGAAACGATGGGACAACATTGGCAGGAAGCTGACCATGTATTATTGACAAAACGACAAAATAAAGTTGGCTCTTAGACGTCTGTAAACCAGAGATGGCGACTACAATTTCTACTATCGTTCCCCTAATGGAAGACCTCTGCAGAATGTTTTCACACGCCAAGCCCTTCTCCTAATTTTTTGGCCTTAATACTTAGCATAGAGATTGTTTTGTGAACTACCTTCAAAGCCAGACTTTTGAAATTTAATTTATCTTCTACAATGACTTCTAAATCTAAAACCTGTGTTTAATTTCAATTTCCGATTAATAAGCCAAACTATTAATTTTCTAATATCGCCCATTTTATTCTATTTTTGGTCTTTTTCACTCTTCAATATTTGGTGGTTTTTTGAATCATCTGGATAAATACCTATGTAAATGTATCTATGTAAACTACGTTGACGTTGTGATCCTGGTCCACTCCCTTGGTTAGATCTTCCAAAAATTATAAAAATTGCAGAACCGCAGAACGTTCAAGGATGAAACCAAATTTACTTTTTCAAAAAAAGGCCTTTTTGATAATCATCAAAACTCCAATCATAAAAAAAACTCCAATCATCAAAAACAAAACTTTCATCTAATGATCGTTGAAAATGACTTGCGTCGTCGCATTCGTCCATAAAACTCTAGGATGTATTCCATCTGGTCCTGCATATTTGCAAATGTTCCAGTTACATATTACTCCAGAGTAAATGTTTTTGTTTGAACAACTTTTTGAGTAATTTTATTAAAAATATTAACAATAAAAGGGACTGATAGTATGTTTATTATAAGTATTTTCAGTTTAGTAGATATTGTAAAGTAAAGTTATAATGTAAAAGTTGAATATTTTTTCAGTATGTTTTAAAACATAAATCTAAAGTAATTTCGGATATTTTTCGTCCGATTCCTTCACACTATTTAACGGGTGGATGTCCATAGAAATAATTTTAAAAATCATTGCCAACTTTTTTAAAAACACTTTAATATTTTGATTATCACTTTTGAAATTTTGCAAATTTGATTTTATAATCTTTATAATTTTTATTTTATTGCGAACGATTTTAAAACAATTTAATATTTTGATTATCACTTTCGTAATCCTTTTTGTTTATATTTTATTGACGTGGAATGGACGGTTCAATTTTGATATAGTCTACTTAACAGTGTTTTATCGATATCTTATGTTGTACAGATACACTGTGATAGAAACAATGCATAAACTAACTTTCAATACTAACTCTATCATCATTGTACTCATTTTAAATGACGAGCCATGACATTTTTTAACATTTATACAAGTTTACTTTATTATTATTAACGTAATTGTTACACATTTACTGTGATGATTATTGTGACGTCATATATTCCAAAATAATTAAATTATTTATTTGTAAAAACTTACACGTATAAATTTTTATAACGCTCAAACACATTTTAAAAAATTAATGGTGATAGAATATGAAAATTGATTGTGAAAAAAATTATAATTAATAATAAAAATAACCAAAAACAACTATGAAATGAAATTATCAAGTCATCAAACGTTCAACCCTCAAATCATTTTTTCGTCCAATTTTTTATTATTCATTTATTAACTCCATCACTCCTTCAATAACTTTTTAAATCAATAATCTATTAAATTTCAATAAAGAAATAAATAGATCTTTTCTTTTTGTGGATTCATGGCATTCTTCCTAACGAACGCATCAGCAAACGGAGGATATTAATTAATAAAATACTTCTTAGTAGATTATTTTTTGATGTCTTCTGTAATTTTTTCAAAGTTATTTCCATAACGGCCGTTATGTTGGGTCGAGACTCGAGTGCCTTACTTTGTTGTTTGCATTGTAGTTTGGTCCCATTTAGAAGTTGTTTTTTGGACCCGTTGGTTCTTGGCATGGGTTGGGGCAGGTTAGAATCCTGTTCAGAAGCTCCAATTTTATGCTGTAGTGGTCGGCGAGACTTATTTTGTTGTTTTAATAGCCAGTTAGTTCGTGGCAGTGGTTTTGGCTGAAATTCAAGAGCCTGTTGCATGAGTTGTTGATCCTGAGACAGTGGTTTGGTGCATTGTATATGTTTTTGTTGTATAACTTTCAGGCTGTCTGCCAATTCAATAGTTTTTTGCTGGAGTGGTTGTTGCTGGGATCGTTTAAGTCGTGGCAGTGGCTTGGGGGCTTGTACATTTTGTTGTTGTATACTTTGTAGGTAGTCTGTCGATGATGAGGTTTTTTCAGCCTGTTGCTTTTGTAGTTGTTGTTCGGAACAATTACGTCGAGGCAGTGGTTTGGAGGCTTGTATATCTTGCTGTTGTATATCTACAAGGTTGTCTGCCGGTGATGATGACGATAATGGTTCAAGCGACTCTCTTTTGTCCATTGGCAATTCTTAATTTTCGTAACACTCACGCTTACGTTTTCTTCACTTACTTTCTAATTATCGTACGCACCGTTTTACAGTTGTTGCTATAGATGCTTCAAGCTAGAGATATTTTGCTCAAAACGTGGACAAGTTGTTATAATTATTGCAGTAATAAGTATACCAATGCATTCAGTAATTTAGAACTGTATAAATTGCGGTTTGATAAACTAACAGTTAACAATTTTAATATTGTAATTACAATATTGTAATTACAATATTGTAATTACAATTATTTTTGTTTGATATTTACTTTGAATGTAGAAATGAAGTCAAAGTCAATCAAGTCAAACAAATTTAATAATCATACTGTTGATAATAATAATAATGATAATAAAATTAACAGTACTTACAATATTAAAAAGTTTTACAATTATTTTGTTTAATATTTAATTTGACTGTAGAAATGAAGTCAAAGTCAATCAAGTTAAACACTATCGATATCAATAAAATCAAAGCCAGTAAACCACAATCATTGTCAAATGAAGATATGTTTTAAACAAAGCAAAGTTATTAACCATATAGTAAAAATTACATTGTATTTAGGATATATATAGAAGAATATAAATTGTTAACTGTTAGTTTATCAAACCGCAATTTATACAGTTATTTCATCAAATAATCTCTTGCTCCTAATCTGGTTTTTTTTTATCTTACTGAAATTTTGCACGAGGACTCTAACTCTCCCTCTCTTAGTCTTGCTACTTCTGATGCTTACAGCTTTTAACTCTCTAGACCTCCAAAAGATCCTTTCTCATCTTCTCATTCTTCTTATGGGGGTATCTGTCTATTCTATAAATCTCTATTTACTGCTTCCATTAATACTTTCTTTAATTTTTCTTATTTGAATGTGTTGTTGTATTTATTAAGTCTTTTTCTCCATCTTTTTATATTGCTCTCTAATCTATCGACTTCCTTCTTCTCTCGCTACATTTTTAAATTAATTTTACTCACTCGCTGAATCTCTCAACCCTTTTTCTATTCTTTTTTACATCTCTGGTGACTTCAACTTGCACTTCAATGACTCATCTTGTTCTTACACTCGTAGATTTAATGATATTTTATCTCTTTATCTTAACACAATATTGTTCTTTTCCTACTCATACTTCTGGTAACACTATTGATTTTATTATAGCTTTATCTATTTCTAAGCCTGTAATATCTCCGCTAGCTGTTCCTTATTCTGATCATCTCCTTATTGAATCTGTATTCTCTTTAGATTTTCGTCCTTCTAATTCATCTTTGTCTATTTCTAAAAAATGCTGGTCTTTTCTTAATAAAAATATTCTTCTTCAATCTCTTACCGAAACTATTTTTGATTTTTCCTTATTTTCTGATGTTGATGATTTTGTCTGTTTTTAATATCTACATTACTTCTTTTCTTGATAAGCTTATTTCTCTTAAATCTTTTACTTATAGGCTCTATTCTCGTAAGACTCCTTATATCGACTATGCTTGGTATTAGCTAAGAAAAGTGTTAGAAGACTGGAGAAAGCTTCTTTGTTCTATCTATGAATTTGATTTGATTAATTATAAATATCTACTAATCTTTAAAACACTCTACTTTTTTTAGAAATTCTATAATATCTGCTTCAACATCTAAAAATGCGTGGTCTGTTCTATCTAAACTCCTTCATAAGAAATCTTTCTGCTTAACAGTTTCATTACTTTTTTGGTAAATATTTCGAAGATACTTCCCCAATAGCAAACATTCACAGTCTTCGTCATATTTCTTAAATTTAAATATATATGGCCTCGATCAATTTCTTATAAATTAGCTAACATTAATAAGCAAGTACTTACAAGGAGAGATCTAACCAACGTTGACAGGGGGCTTAAATTTTGAAATTTGATGGCCCCCCCGGAGTACTTAGATTCGGAAAGTGCTATGGTTTATCTTATTGATTTATGAACACACCTGAACCTGAACGCACGATGTTTCAACGTTTGTCTTTAGAATTATCCGTTCAAACGTTAGAATTATCGATTGTCAATAACATTTGGTTAAATCAATTTTGCGAAAATATTAATTCAGTAATTGCTCATATGCCATTTATTGTGACAGAAATAACCATTGAATCAATCGATCATTTGAATCAATCAATCAATCTTCGTTTTGCGTCCAGAGACCCAGTTTCCCGAGGTAGGACGTTGTTTTCTTTGCCATCAACTTTTTGCGCCAAATTAGACGATCAGTTGTATCCATTTCATCTAAATTTAGAGCTTTCATGTCTTGCTCGATTGTTTGCGACCAGGACTTCTTTGGACGGCCTTTGGGACATGTGCCAGGTACTTCAACATCTGCAAGAGAAGTTATGGCACTGTTTCCACTTCGTTTGACATGACGAAACCACCGCAGACGGTGTTGCCGGCATTCGTCCTTTATATCATCTAAACCAGCACGACGCAGGATTTCAGTAGATTTGATGTGGTCCTTCAGACTAAGTCGTTGCATCCATCGGAGCATTTTCATGTCGATTCGTTGAAGTTGTTGTTCCAGTTTGGTTGTCATTGGCCATGTTTCTGCACCATATAACAACACCGGACGTATCACAGATTTATAAAGTCTTGATCGTAGTGGTAGTGGGATGTCACGCCGCATCAATATAGAGTCAAGAAGATGCCATTTATTCCAAGCTGCACGTATGCGTGCTCTAATGGCAGCTTCGGCTGTTCCAGTACAATCCAGAACATCCCCTGGTCCTGAGCATGACATAAAACTGCATCCACGCTGCCTCGCGTGCTTTTGTGCGAAAGGCTAGGCCCACCGCTTATAACTGGTGGTTGTCGTCAGGATGGGTGTCCGGATGTAAAAACTTTTCCCCAAATTACTCTTATGCCAATCGATCATTTGAATCTTTTTAACTTTCGTTGTCCAGTTGAACTCATTCATTTCGAGTGATGGGCTACGCTCAATATAGTTTCGAGCACTAGCACTAACCAGCAGAAACTGAATGAGAAGCTGCCACCATCACGACAGCCTCGCCTGCACTTGGCGCGTCAATCGCAGGAATGGATGCAACCGAGAGGAAGCATCATCAAAAATCTGACGAAGCCTGAACAGGAAATGTGCTCAGAAAAATATGTGGCATACTCATTTTCCAGTGGCTTTAATAACACGAATTTTTCGATGTCCGATCAAGACAATAATAACAACTTCAAGTCAACTCCCAACATACGAGAGCGAATTATTTGGCTCTAACACATCATCCGAATCGTCCATGGCGTCATCAGTCACGCCAGCAATCATAAGTGGAAACGACAACCACATTTAAAACAAAGTAAAAATGTGTTTGTTCTCTTCTTAAATAGACTGAACAGTTGTTATTGGATAAACTTTTTTCCAATCGCGATTGGATATTAACTATAACCTTCTATATCTTTCAGTGTCGGAGATTATTGCCGGAGGAGTCGATTCATACTTCAGAGTGTAATCAATTTGAAAATTTAATCTATTTTTTATTCAAAAATTTTTAAAGATTCTGTTTTTAAGAGGAAAGGCAATCTTTAAAACTGAAAATAAATGCTAAAAATGTGAATGAAATAACATAATTTTCTTTCGGTATGTTTTAAAAGTTGTTTTAATAAGAAAAACATTACATTGACTGATTTTAAGTGTTCTTTAAAATATTTTCCATTTAGTAGTGTCATTTTAAAATAAAATTATGATGAAGAAGTTGAAGAACTTATCTTGGAATTAAAGTCGGTAATTTTCACTTGAATTCAAAATTTTTTGAGAGCCGGAGTCGGATAGTTTTCATCCGACTCTCACACCATGATTCTTCATTTGATCTTATGCGATTGGTTATTGCTGACATTTCTCAAATTCAGAATTTTGAAATTATGAAAACAAACTGCATGATATATGTACATTTCTGTATGAGCCAATGTTAAATTTTACAACAAATGGAAAAGAAGTTAAAATATTTACAGGAAATACAAATAAATAACAAAAGAATAAGATCATGAATCTCCTGACATGAGCAAATGCGTGTCCCTATGTGCCTGGATCATGAGTGAGGCCCTCTCATCTCCAACCACTCCGACCAGTTTGATGGCATCGTACCTACTGTATACCACCAAACATGACTGGTCGATGGAGGATCTGTTGCACTTGTTGTCAAACATCATGTTGCATAATTCTGGGTAGAAGTGACTGTTGACAGGGAGATCATAGAAGATGATGTGATGCACGCCACGTATTCTGTACCTTTTGATGCGATGAATGTGAGAGTGAAACAACAAGTGAGAGTGAAACAACATAATCAAATCAACAATGACAGCAAAAATATTATACATGTTTTTTTATTTATTCCTAGAAAATATCAAACTGTCTGTTATACAACACGCAAAAAGACAACATTATAAATAAAGAGAATAAAATAAGTTACAAATAAATGAATGAATAAATAAATGATTATATGTATAAAAGAAAAAAATTAAATAAAAATTGAGATTACAACCTAGTGTTGCGCAGACTTAAAAATAATCAACTATAAAAACAGTTTTAAAGAAATATTTTTGACTATATAATTTAAATGTCATTCATAAAAATCTACATTTAATAATAAATATTATTAGAGGTAAAAAATGAATGAAAAACTGATTGAACCTGTGGTAGAAATGGAACCTCTCCGTGTACAGGAGGAATCTGACCTTGCCCTTGAAGAAGGACTGCCTGGCCCGTGATACATCCTTCTCGTCAGTGTACCTGCAGTGTCAGCAACATTCATCACGTTCGAGCGCGGTGCTAACCAGTTAACAATTGCGTGATCTCACGTGGAATCATTTAAATTAATTAACAAATATTACTTTATTATCCTTCCAATATCTAAGAATATTGCCAATTTTACCATTAATTTAATTAATTTCTGCGTTTATTATACAAAACACTTGTACCTGGAAATTTTGTAATTTCAAAGTTCTTATTTGCTGCAGTGAATGAAAAGCATCAGCCGTTTGAAATGTAATTAACCGCAAACGTAATAATTAAAATGGCGGCGTAAGAAGTCGCTTTAAAAAAAATGAAATTTGAAATGTTGAATATGAGGTGCACTCCAGCAGTGGAGGAGTACCTGAGCTTCCAAACCTGGCGACGCTTTTAAATTGAAATCGTTCAAAATTTTAAATAAAACTTAACAAAGTAAATAACAACGTTGAAATATTCATTATTTTCATTTTAGAACTAAATATCTATTTAATAGAAATGCAGTGAATTGTGAATTTGGCCAAAGCAGAATACGAAAAAATCCGCAATTTTGAAAAATTTTTAATTGTTGAAAAAACAGTAGGCGAATCATATTTATCCAAAAATTCTTTATCAAGATTATATTTAATTTTTTGTTCAAATTTAAATGTTTCAACAGCTATGATGCTGATTTTCCGTTAATAATAATCAATGATAATTATTGTCCTGGAATCCAAAAATGGTAATGGCTAATAAAAAAATACGACATTCGGTTATTTGGCCTAAAATGGCCAAAATGTCAAATTTTGGCCAAATATTCGTCCAGACCGAACACTCGGAGTGACCCAAACATCTCTGTCAAACACTAGTAAAACTTGCTAATAAATTACTTGGGCTTATTAATAAATTTTGAGATTCAATGTTAATTGTAAAATAACAAAAAGATCAATGACCAACTCGCAAATGTGAACAAAATCGAAATCTTCTTTCTTCATGAAGTTCCTCACCCTGACGAAGTCGTAATACGAAGAGATGAAGACCATGATGTGCTGACACGTTGAGCTTCGATACTCACTTATTATCTGCTTACAAAATTGTGCTTGTGCTTGGAAAATTGTAAATAACTTGCGAATCAAGGGAACTAATGAATAAATATTGAGAAATTATTATGCAAATGAAACAGAGACAAAAAATATTAAAATAATTAATTAGTTTTAAAAGGAGGAAAATAATATGGAAAAAATTAGACGTTAGTTGAGATAGAAAATTAGAAATTGCATTACAGAAGAAAGACAGAGCCAATGAAGTATTGTCGGAAACAACGGAAAAGATGAAATGAAACGTGCGAACCACAAACAGTTCAGAGTACATGCATTGAGAGTGAGATTTTCAAGATGAAGAACAAACAAAATGTGGCAGATTTTCAATTTGCTTTGCATAATGCATGATGAAATGAAGAAAGAAGCGCTCACTCTGTTGGTGAAGTAATTGAACCTGGCATCGTTGACCAACTGCACGCTGTCCACTGCGAACTTTCGGAAGGTCTGCCAGAAACGAACATTCACCATTGAATCACATTCAACAACACCTTACACGTGGAGAAGGCTTTATGTAAACGATCATCATCAACATCATCACCGCCATCATCATCACAACCACCACCAACGCCACAAAAGTGAAACGGTAGCAAAGAAAAACCTGGGCGAGTGTGTTGACGATGTTGCAGATGGTGCCCGTGGTTGGTGCTGGCTGAACCATGCACCTGCCCTCGTAATGTGATGCATTCACAAGTTAAGGAATAATAACCCAATCAACGCTGTCAGGCACAGTTAATCTTAAATGATTCGATAATATATTTCGACGAAATTTCATAAGAATGATTAAAAATGCACGATTAAATGAAAGAGAAATATAAATACGGAAAGGATATTTGTTGAGAACTTGTTGAACAACGAGTTTATTTCTGGAGTTTGGTACGCTGACATAATTATTGTCTGTCTGTAGAGCGAGGACCTTATGAAAATATAAACATTCAAACAATTAAAAATGATCTGGACAAAAAAAAACATCAATCTCTACTATCGTTATAAGTTGGCCAATTAATTGAATATTACTTCCCTAACATTACGTGTTATAAAAGTAGAGAAACAACAAATTTTTCATATTTCGTTGTTGCGTATATAAGGGCGTTTGTAGGTGCAGGCTTCCTCACATTTTAGAGCACGATCTTCTCTACTCAGCCATCAGATTATGTAGACAAAGCATAAAACTCACTAAAAAACTTTTAAGAACTCCTGTCTCAAAATATTAACCACGCTGTCGTTTCGAAACTCAACTTATTGGTCAAATTCATCTAAACCATGTTGAAAGATACTCTTATAATTTTTGTTGGCATTAGCACCATTTCACGTTCCTGCAGCATCTCCACTCACCACCCACTACGCCACGCTCACCTTATTCCACCCAATTTACGGACACCCAAATATGGAGTTAACTGTTTGATGTATTATTTCAAACTTAAAATCTTAACAGAAGAAAAGTTGAAAGAAACAACGTACCATCCATTAATGCAGAACATACGTACGCGCGATAACTTCACTCCATGTGATTGTTGTGGCTGTTTGTTGAGCGAGGACACCAAGTTCTGTTTGTTTTTGGCAAGATGACTTTGCGTAATGTTTCGTTTATAAATGAAGAAAGTTCAACAACTGATAACAATAAAAAATTAATTTGTTAAACAAATGATGAAATCATCAAAGTGATTTGCAGGCAGGCATACGAACCAGAACATCGGACCAGTTCTGCATGAGGAAGACATGCGCCTGATCGATGATGACCAGCTCGATGGAGGAGAGGAAATCTGTCTCGCCACTACAGTTTGTATCCGGGGTTATAAAATGATAAATCGATGAATAACAAACAAATGAGAAAAAAAACCACAAACGTCAGTATCAACCATTAAGATTGAACAATGGAAATTACATAGCAGTCGAATCAAACATTTTATACTATAAAATGAATATAAGTAATACCGAAAAATGTATTTGTTACATGAATGGTAAAGATTACGCAAGAAAATGAACCGAAACAAGCAGGCACCTTTGCTTGGAGTCGATGACTGATTTGAGGCCCAGAGGAGAAGTTATGATGACATCGCTTGCGTAAAAATCAACGTACAGCTTCAACGTTTTTTTGCAAACAGACAAGCCAATTTTGAAGTTGTCATCCAAATTGCCATCGAAAGTCTTTTCAAAATCGTCTGGACCAACAGGGATATAATCATGTTTCGATAATAATACTTAATGAACTTTCACTGTATTCATCAGTTTGAATATATTTAATTCTCTTCAACAGTGTATTGAGCCGATTTAAAAACCTATTAATACAATTGGCACATTCGTTATTTCACCTAAACACGTCACGGTTTTAATAATAAACAAGAGCAAATAAATTTTATTGACACATTTTTAAACTATATTTTTATATTATTTTAACAAAATAATTAATATTTAAAAACCTACAAGAATCGGATATAACAAAAAACTTTTGTAATAATTCATTTCCGAGAAATTCGAATATTTCGTCGAAAATCCGACGGAAATCCGATTGTTAAAAATTTCGTATCTTGTACCTGATCGCGTTTATTTGCAACATTCAAAGACAGGCGTAATTTAAAAAAAATTTACCATTAAAAATGGTAGAATTTTTTTAAGTTGCAATACCGACAAAATTTTTAATTTTTTGTCAAAAGCAGACCCTTACTACCTTAATTGTGTAATATTGACAGAGTGTTTGATATTGATATTTCAAACAAGGGAGTAGATGGGTTGGCAGACACGGTTGGCCATCGAAATGATTTGAAAATGTAGGTAACCGTATATGTAAACGAAAAATGATTGCGAGAAGAGTAGAACCATGAATTTTGTCCAGCCTCACTATTCATTGACAACCGTCCAGCTTTTCAAAGAATATTCAGAGTAACACTTTATTAAGGTGGGTATCGGAAACCTAGTTGGCATCCATTCATCTTATCGTCCTTATTTACATATAAATAGCGCATTATGAAAAAATTGCATTGAGGAAATTATAAAACATCAATCATGAAACCGACCTGGCTTGAATCCTTTCTTGACCTCCTCAACACCCTCACTACCATATTCGCTCTTGAAGCGGTCCTCATTTGAAACCCTTACCTGTCCATATCAAATGTTCCAAAAATATGACTTATGGTCTTAAATGCCAACCTTACATAAAATCAAAACATTCTGAAAGGCTTTAAGGATCAAAAAAAGATTTCAGCATGAAATTTTTATTCTGACCTTGTCGGAGGACATGAGAGTGATAATCATTTGCACTATTTTGAAAGCACTGCTTCTCATAGGCACGACTATTAAAACTTTTGCATGCGTGAATCCCTGATCTCTAAACTCCCTGGTGGAAAATTCGCAATATCAACTTTTAATTCAAAGTACATACAGTAAGTTAAAATGTAATTTTCATTAATTCAAATTCACGTTTTAATCAGTTTGGTACAATGCAAGCTAGCATTATTAAACATTCTTAGATCTATTTGTTGATTAAATAACAATTTTTTCGTCATCACCGCCACCATCATCAACTAACAAGCTGGCATCTTTTTGAGCCTTGAACTTGCTGTTGTTCCTCAAGACTTCCTTCCTTGTCCTTCACGGTCAAAAATTCATTGAGATCATCAATGTCATAATGGTTTGTTCATGAATCACAACAACGATCAATATCATCATCATCCTCTCAAACACCATCAACCGCTCACTTGAAAAGGTGATTAAGCAAATGTAAACAATACACAAGTCTGGTGCTCTCCACTGAATCAGTCGATTGCCTCGGATAGTAGAAATCCTATATAATTTAAGTTTACACATCATTATGTTACGTGTTACATTATAAGCAATATAATCACCATCATAGATAACGTCATCACCCTCATAAACGTCATCATTGCAATAGACATAATCATTAACAGAAATATCGTCATCGTTATCAACCTCGATATGTTAGGTAATTTCACCCTTAATGGTACAGCAGCGCATATTAAAATTTGAGTTTTTTCCTACAAGCGAGTAAGTAACAGGCTTAGATCCATTCATCCATTAACATTTCATTCTTTGCCTCCACGTTGCCCTTTTATGACTTGTGACTTTCCAATTCGACAGCACTTCAGAATTCTTGCCCCCCCCCCTTCATTCACATTCATCCTCATATCATTCGATACTCCAAAATCACACAACCGGTTTCAAATCACAAAATCACGTTTTCGTGTCTACCCCTACTTATCCAGTACCCATTAACGCCAGGAAGCCAAAAATGCAGACGACAAGTAACATAAACTCTTCTTTCTAAGTTTTCATTTTAATTGAGTCATAAATGAAGTTCGTTAAACTTCTGTTTCGTCCCGATTTGCATCATCTCAGTTTGTTATTTTCTATTATTTACTTGTATGAAGATGGCAACAAATATTTTATTTTATATCTATCTAATGGTCTTTATACTTATATATTCTATGTGTCTATCAGTCTTAACTGCATTAAATAGTCAGTCTTAACTGCATTAAATAGTTTGTAATTTGTGTATTAACAAATCCTGCGTCGTGCTGGTTTAGATGATATAAAGGACGAATGCCGGTAAAACCGCCTGCGTTGGTTTGGTCATGTCAAACGAAGTGGAAACAGTGCCATAACTTCTCTTGCAGATGTTGAAGTACCTGGCACACGTCCCAAAGGCCGTCCAAAGAAGTCCTGGTCGCAAACAATCGAGCAAGACATGAAAGCTCTAAATTTAAATGAAATGGATACAACTGGTCGCCTAATTTGGCGCGAAAAATTGAAGGCAATGAAAACAACGTCCTACCTCGGGAGAACTGGGTCCCTGGACGCTAAACGAAGATTGATTGATTGATTGATTGATTGATTGATTGATTGATTGATTGATTGATTGATTGATTGATTGATTGTATTAACAACCATAATATATCTCCAAAGCGAAAACAATTTTAGTGCCTCAAAAAGAGGATTCCTTTGATGTAACCATCCAATGTGTTGTGATTCGTTGTGTTGTGTTTATAAGAACAACATCGTCACATCTTCAACCAATGCATTGTTTTAAGCCACATTTCGGAATGTTTCAGAAATGGACGCCAACATGCAATATCACCACAAATACGCAACATCACCATAAATATGAGATTAAATAATACGAAACCAACTTTATAAGAGTTGAGGATGTTGAACATTGCCAGTTGGTCACTGTTTAAGCAATCTAAAAATATCATTAAATTAAAGTTCTAACCAACTTATATAGAACATCCTAAAAAATGAACCAAGTCAAAAAAATATTACAAAAAAACAACAAACCATCTGACGAGTTGAGTTGGGCGTCACCTAAGTGTGGATGAACCAGCTTGTTGTTACATGAGCCTACCCGACTAAGCAGCTCTGTGTTAACCTTCAAGAATATTTATAAATTCATTAGTGAATGTGACCACAAACATTAATAAATGAAAATTCTATAATGATTTGTGTGAGTGTGAATGTGCGTGTGTGTGTGTGAGCTGTGATAAAATTTTTCCACTAATGTTGTTCATATGTATCAATTAATTTGTTGAGTAGATTTGAAGAGTTGGGAGTTCATAAAGTGAGATGTGAAATAATTTACTTGATTAACTCAGTCAGTTGCTCAGTATATTATGAGCGACAGATGAAATTAACATGTGTGATATATATATACTTGATTTAATAATATTAATGATATTTCCAAAACAATAAGTGATCAAATGGTAACATTAATAATATAATTAAAAGTATGATACAGATAACACAAATGATAACCATTGAGAAAATATTTAATTTATTGCAGTGCTTCTTTAAGTGGTGGTTCGCTATTGGAATGGCAGCTGTTGGTCCGGGGACTAATAGCTGCCGGTCCCAATAGGTTCCAAAAATTTTGAAAATTAATGAGTACTTTCATGACTTGGACAGCAAAGCAATTGAGAAAGTCATCTGATTACTAGTGAATGAGTTTAAAAGTAAGCAAGCTCACAAATGCAAATGTATGACTATAATTAATATATAATGTGATGATGCGAGAGGACGTGTGACCAATTAATTTACTATCCAGCTTAAAATTTCAATCTTTCGTTATCAGCCCAGCTGTTTTGTTTGCACATGTTCAGAGCAAAAATTATGAAAAAACCGGTGAAACTGCTTTATTGCTGAATTAAGAAAAGATCGGAAAAGGAGTATTTCTAAATGTTTTTTAATTTAGCTACAGTCATTGATGAAGCAGGCAAAGGATTTGACAAAAAAAATTTAAAAACCGTAATCACTGAGCAACTGTCAGCTTATCTGAACGGTTTGAATTTTATTTTCCTACGAAGGATGACCCACGAATAGGAAAAAAACGGATTACGAATCCTTTTGTTGAACATAAAAAAACTTGACTGTTAAGATGGAAGATAAAATTTTGGAGTTCGCATCTGACTAAGGCCTAAAAATGAAGTTTGAAAATACATCATCTTTTTCAGTTTTCTAGATCAGCATCAAGTCGGAATACCCAGAGCTCACTGATAAAGCAACGAAAACCCTTCTTCCTTTCCTTTCTACCTATTTATGCGAATTTAGATTTCTATGTTCCCAGCTACGTGTGGCACTGTTTCAGACACGTCTTAACAAATAAAAAACAAGCTTATTCATCTCACTAATTTTTACAACAATTTTTATTTTCTAATGTTGAAATATTACACACACACACACACACAAACATACACACACACACACACACATATATATATATATATATATATATATCACAAGCTGGGTGGCGTGTCTGTAACATTCTGTAAAATTCGTTGTCGGTCCGCGAACGAAAATGTTTGAGCAGCACCGATTTATTGTAATTGGTTTATATGAATATGTATATATTTTCATTGATTGACAAACAAATTAATTAAAAGTAACGACATACGTGGCATTTTTTCAAATCTTTCTGCTCAAAGGTGGTTGATGTGGAGGTATTCAACAGCAGAGGTGTTTTCGTCAGCAGGCAGCCTAAAGGAGTGTTCTGTGGAGAATGTAAATGGTGGAGGGGATTGAAATACTTTGGTGGGAGCGAAGATGAGAAATTTACGTCGCTACATACCTGAGTTGTCGAGTGTTCATTTCTATGCGATGATTTTAATTCAGTGACAATTTCCTCGTCGATATCTTTTTTCAGATGTTTGCAAAAAGGATCGTCTGCAAAAAATAGGACTGGCGTATTTACTTGAAAATATTTGGGGTAGCGTGGCTGACCCTGCCAAATAGAAGGTGTATGAATCGATGTAAACAAACGCTAACCATCAAAATTTGTTTCAACTGCATTGTCATCCTCCTCTTCATCAATTTCTTCTAACGCCGAACCATCATCATCATTATCACCAACATGGTCATTATCCAGTTGCTTCCTTCCAATTCTCTTATAATTGGTCTCATCATCATCATCATCAACTTCATCCTCAGAGCCTGGCAAATAATAAAATCATAAAATTTATTTACCGGTGAAATAGATTATCATTTAAAGAATAATTTGGGGAAATGACTGTATAGTGCGTGCAAGTAATGAAGAGAACCGCTGCAAAAAGTGTCACAAAAGTGCCCCTCGTGTCCACATTTATTAAGCCCGTTTTAAAGAATGTCAGGAATCGAACAGATACAATGATGGTAACAAATGATACAATGATGGTTGATCACATAATTTCCGAAAACTTATTCATTTTATTTTCAATATCAGGATTATTAATAGGTCATTATTTCTTTTCAGAAATTAAATCCTTTTTAAGATTTTTTTAATTTTTTTGTCGAAGGTGGTTAGTATTCATTTATCTTCCTCATGTTCCTCACAGAACTAGCCCATAGTTTCAATTACAAATGAAGAATCGCATTGTTTTAAAAATAAATGAGAGCTTTTTTGTAATTATGCTGAAGAAAAAACAAGAGATTACCAAGATCGACATAGCAGTGAAGTTTTGTTGATTAGCGCTAAAGAGTACATTAAAGAGAACTGTTGGGAAGGAAGAGAAAGTTGCAAGTTGTATGGGGATGAAATATAAGCAGATCCAATAAAATATGATGAAATGGAGTTGAGCGACATTTGAAAATTAAACTATCTTGCTACCATAAAAAAAGCATTACATGCCGCACAGCAGTGAACACAATGCATCATTAAGAAAATGTCAGAGTTAAATGCACAATAAATTTAAGTGCATCTTGAAGTGAATTCATGCAAAACTTTCAGCGAGTTCTGAAAATCTTTGTGGCTTGACTTTGGATGGAAATTTTGTTGAGTTGAAAATTAAAAATTACAAACCATCATCATCTTGGTCAGCTGTTTCATCAGCCATTGATTCATCAACTTCATCACCTTCATCTTCATTTTTTGTTACTCCAAACTTGGAAAGGAGTTTGCTGTATGGAGTCTGTTCCTCCTCCTCATCCATCACCAACTGAGTACCTCTATCCAGGCCCTAAAAAAATCACGACCACATAATTTGTATCAATATTTACATAGAAGCTTCAAATCATATCAAATCAAAACACAAACATCTTCAGCTACAGGCTGGAATTCTTTTCGACCATCACTTGGTTGTCGAAGAGGAATGACCTTCACCTTTCTAACGAAAATAAAAAAACAAATTTACTTCAGACTAAGTAACTAAGCAAAAAATTCCATATGATGCGAATGATGTTCTAAACATTTGTGACAAAAAACATCAAATTAAAATTAACGGTGGAACAACAAACTTTGATTTTTTTGACTTTTTCTTCTTGAAAAACTTTTTTGAAGAACCTTTAAATTTTGCCATTTTTGGTTTTCCCATGGTTGAATTGGCAAAGCTAAAAAGTAATATAATTATTAGTAAAAGTACAACTGAAGGAAATATAAATCAATCAATCCTCGTTTATAATCTCCATCCATTATGGGTCGCACGAAGGAAATATAAACATCATCACAAATATCATTATACTTATTGCAATCGTAACCATCCACATTGTTCAAGGCCAACGCATTATGATCAAAGCTGTTGAAATGAGTTGCAGACATGACTTAAAATGTGGTGGTGAATGCAGTCTATCTTCGTATTTTATTTCCACGTTGGCTTATTGGACCAATCAACATAGAACTCTCAGAGAAAAGATTTAGCATAGGGTTAATTTTTTTTAAATAATCAAATATACATGTATGTTATATAAACTGTGATCAGGCAAACCAAATGTGAATCATGAATTAGCAAAATACTGCTACTATTTGACCTCAACATTTTGCCATCCAATGTGAAATCCATCAAACAGCAAACCAATGCTGGACTCAGTGATGCCCTATTCAATGCAATACCTTGCAAGTGCTATCTCTAATTCTAATACAAACCTCAACACTGACTCCTTTAAAATTAAGATAGTGATAGTATATCAAGAAACGAAATTAATAACAGTTTCGATCTCTGGGATATTTACACTTTTCTTCTATGTGTTTCATTGAATATTTAATTATTAATTATTTTATCAATTACTTTTTCAACTTTTGACCTATCATAGTCAACGGCAAGTATGTCACATGAATATTCTTAAGACAATTTAATAAATGTAAAAAAATTTAATTATTATAACTATATTATTATATTATACTAGCAATGAATAAAATAAAGCATCAAGCAATATTAATTTTATTAATTAACAACTAACATTAAATTAATCAATAACAACAAAATCAAAATATCTGATTACAGACTAATTATTCATTTAATTAAAGTTGTTAATTTAATCCAACCTCTTTTTTTTATTCTGCTACACGCCTAGTCGTTTACTTTAGTTAGCAGTTTGTTTATGTTGTTTAGTACAGTTTGTTTAGTTTAGTGTTCGTTGTTTATGTTAGGAACCAGCCTATCACATAGCATAGCACGTGTTTAGTTGGTATATTTTATTTCCGTTGGGACAAAAACACAACAGATAATATCAAATCGCTTTCTTCTTGCTATTTATTTTTTGACGGATCAGATCGTAAGAAATTTTGAATCAAATTTTATAAAGTCAAGTCATAGAATATAAATTTACCAAAAACTTCAAAAACGTTTGCGTAATATAAATTTACCAAAAACTTCAAAAACGTTTGCGTAAATTTATATTTGAAAAGTGAACCTGCGAGAAAACGATTTTGAAAAGTTTTAACATGTTGTGTTTATATAGCGCAATTTTTAGAAAGTCAATTATACTCACATAAACTCGCATCGAAAAAAAGCAAATAACAAAAAATAAAAGTAATAAAAATAATGATATAAACATGTTAGTAATAGAAATATTAACAGAAATGAAACCTATAAACTAAATTTAAGGCAAGGCAAGTTTAATTTTACTAAAATGAACAAATTAACCACGTATATAGAATAGTTAACTAAAAAGTTTGGATCTAAATTTTTGTTTGAAATTTCAAAATTTCGTATCCTGTTATTGTGCTTGTTACTTTGTTAAATTGTTTCTTATTGTTTTTTAAGATCATGTCAATGGTGTTCATTTCTTCCTAGATTACTTTTTGGCATCTTCTTGATTAAACTTTTTCGATTCTTTTCTTTTCTTCTCTTTTCTTTTTAAACAAAAATTTTACACTCCCCTCCACGTCATGCATGTTGCCGTTTAAATCCATTTTATCATACTTTAATAATTTTTGTTTTTCCGCTTCTTTGTTTAGATGGTTTATGTCTTTATGATTGATTCCTTCACTTCCAGGTACGCATTCGTTAGACTCATACTAATCTCTCGTTGAATGAATCATTTTTGTTCGGTGGATTGATAAAGTGTTTTAAATTCGTTATTGTTTTTTCTAATATCTTTGTGTTTGGGGATGTGTTAGCTGGCACTTACGCAGAAGATTTGTGCATCGTCGTGTATTTATTCGTATTTTGTCTCATTTTGTTATGCCTTTGCTGTTCATATTGTTTTTGTTGCGATCTGTCACTTAATTTCATTAAACCATTCAAACTCATCGTACACAAAATGGCGGATTTAGGGAGGCAGGGGGCCAGTGCCCCTCCCGTTGTGAGCAGTTTTTTAAAAAGAGCCTGAACAGGACTGTCGACCAAAAGGAAAATCGATTAAAAATTAGACGTGAGAAGCAAACAAAAGTTCGTCTGCCACACTACCACAAATCTTGGCTTCCCTGCGTGTAAATTTTGGCTCCCTGTAAAAAATTTAAACATTTTTAAAATTTTGCCCCCCCCCCCGTCAATGTAGTCTAGATCCGCCATTGTACACAAAAATGGTAAGAAAATAGCTTTACTTCCGTAGCCTCCATCAATCCATCGCACGAATCAATTAAAAATATTAGGCATTACATTCACCTTCATACTCAACATATCATCTCATACAAACATCATCATCACAAATTTCAAACTTTTCACGCACTCAAAACGCTTCTCTCACATGATCTCAAAAGCATCAGATTATTCGACATCACAAATTCACAACACAAATCAAATATGCAGCTTCTTCCTGGTCTGGTTTCGCTACACAACACCTTCAACAACTATAATCTCTTATCAAATAATTAATTCGTCTCGTCTCAACTACTTACCTTTACCGCATATCTTACCGTTACTCAAATATTCAACATACTCGATTCAAGATTTTCCAAGAACACTAACAGTGGCATATCTAGGGGAGCCGACTCGGTTGTGAGCAGTGTTTCTATTAAAAGTCAGTAAAACTCATGTTTTAGACGGGAAAACACCTTAATACCAAGACATCTAATACATTTTGGCACTAAATAATTATTTGCAATTTGTTCGATTGTGTTAATTCTTTTTCCATAAAGGGATATGTATCGATAATAAGAAATTTCTAACAAAGCTAACAAGAATTGAGATCATTCAAGTTGGGAAATTTCAATTTCTTAAGTCAAACAGTTAAATTTAAGGTGTCTTTCAAAATCATTACCAACTGGCGAACAATGGATAACAATTATTGAATATACATATGTGAGCCTGGTTTAAAAAAAATCTTTTTTTCTTCAGCATGTTTTCTTTCCTGTATTACGTCCTTACCACATTCACGGTTGCGACGTCGCTAAAAAATAAAATGTGAATATTTGAAAAACATGATAGAGCATGGCTAACAATCATTTGTACAAAATTGTTATGAAAGTTGAGTTAACTAGTCCCACATGAACAAATTTTGAGTTACTGAAGACACAGTGGCATATAAGGAGGGGGCCGGTGAGCCATTATCCCCCTCCCCTGTTGTGAGCACTGTTTATATGTTTATAGTAAAAATCAGTAAAACTCAGTTTTTATACACGGGAAAACAACGTACCGACCAAAAATTTTCATGATAAACAAATAAAAGTTACACCAGCAATTATTTGGGTTAATTTCTTAGCTTCTCCACCATCAAATTTCCAAATTTGTAAAATTTTACTGCTTTCAGTCTCAGCACGTCAGGCGCATATGCTTCATTACTCACAATTAATTTGAAATAGGTTTTTTTAATGTACCATAATTTAAGCCCCTAAATAATTTGTTAGAAATTTAAATTTTAAAATAATAACAATCGACTCCCTGGTTGAGAACTGGTGGGCTAATGCTAACCAAAACCGAGGTAAACTGGTTAGTTTTTAGATTTATTACCGTTAACTGTTCTCATGTTGTTATGCAAATATAGGTTATTAACATTATTGGTAAGTAGAATGTGGGAGGTGCCAACAGACCTTGCTGCCCTCTGAGCCTCTTAGCCTCAGCACGCCAGGCGCATGCTTCATTACTCACAATTAATTAAAAACAGGTTTCTTTAAAGTTTTATGTACCTTAATTTAAGCCTCTAAATAATTGTTAAAAATAATAACAATTTAATTACTAATAATAATAATAATGGCAACAATATTTATTATAACTTACACTCACGAGGGACCTAGACAACCTCGATTAAATCCACATACACTGAATAAAGGTACGCGATTATTTCCGCTTCCAACGTATTCCTTCAATTAATTAATTTATAAGAAAAGTTAGCGCTAGTTGAATGAAGTGTGGTGCATTATTTGTTCGTTTACTTCCTAACAGGTTTAGGAATTTTTTTTAGAGTTTGATTTTTGGTGAACAAGTTTTTAGCCGAAGTGAAAATTATTTGCATTTGTACCCTAATGTGAGTTGGACAGTTTGAAAGTTAGTGGGTGTATCGGTGGGGTTTCTCAGGCTCTTACATCAACATTTATTTATTTATATAAGAATCAGGCATTCATATTTATTTCAGAAGACACTCACTCACCTGTCACCTGACCTCTTCTGGCATTTTTAAATTTGTTAATTAAACTAACTGAAAGAATACAGTTGAATGAAAATTATTTGTTTTTTAGTAATTTCTTGATAAAAATATCATAATCATAATAGAAATAGATGGAATAAATAAAGTTTATGGTAAAAAAGTAAAACTTTGTAATGTTAAAACTTATGCATGAGATGATCATGATTGCATGGTGACTTTATGACATGTAAAGTAAAAAGTTGAAACTGCTACTGGAGGAAGTCTTAAAGAGAGAGAGAAAGGTAGAGAAAGCCTTAGAATTAAAAGACTTTAGTGAGAACTTACCTAGTAAGTACTTTTGAACTGTGAGCTCACTATCTCTGCCATCTACCAATGTAACTTTTTTCAACTGAACAAACATTTTTCATTTAAAAAAATTAGTTTCAATCCATCAGTTTATTTATGATTGACAGGAAAAGGTTTTAGCTTGTTAAAGAGCAGCCAGAACAATAATGATTTTAAAAGCTAGAGGAGAAACATTGACATCTCACACACAATGCACAACGTGTGTATTGTTGAGAACCACAAACCTACAAACTAATTTCAGTTCAGTGTTGCACTATTTTGGTAGCGCTTAACTTGCTTGTTTAGAAGGCTTGTATTGTATATAGTTTAGAGATGAAAGTCAAATTGAAATTAATATTTTTTACTTTCAGGTTTTAGAATAAAGGTTGATAACTAATTTGTCTGAACACTCAAACATATTGAAAATATTTAATTAAATTTCTGCTCTTGCTGATAAATAAAATAATTTACACAAAGAATTACATCTAAAAAGATTAACTCAAGATGCCTATTCTATATTCGGCGATTGGCAAGGGATCGACAGTGTTGTGCTTCTACCAGCAGTCGTCGGACAGCAGTTACGACGTCCTCGCCTCCAACATTCTCCCTAACCTGTCCTCTGTCGCCAACGCAAAAACTTCATACACTACTAATAATAAGTAAGTCAGACTGTGTTCATAGTTACAATTATTAAATTACTTTGTAAATATACTTTACGTATGTGTGCATGTAATTATTTACATTCATACATAATATGTATAATAGTAATTTTATTTGAATTTACTGAATTCAAAGATTGTTAAAGTTGATCATTAATGGAGGGTGTAACATTACAAAACCTGACATAACCGAGTTACGCATCAAAATATGTGACACAAAACAAGCAAAATGTGACATTGTAACAAAAAATGACGTAGCTACTTAATGTGATGTAACCTGACGTACTGATTGTGAATGCTTAACATCAACACAGCATGGTCATAAATGTCTTGGTCGAATCTGGTCTGGTCTTCATATGTGCCAGTTCACCTGACATCAATAAGGCCGTCTCTTTTGAGTTCCTGACTGAGGCTTGTTGATGTCGTTGTTCATTGTTGTTGATGTCATTGTTTGCTGTTGATGTTATTTGTTGTTGTTGATGCTATTTGGTGTTGTTCTTGTCATTGTTTGTTGTTGATGTTGTTTGTTGTGGTTGATGTTGTTTTTTGTTGTTGGTGTTGTTTGTTGTTGTTGATGATTATGTTGGTTGCAGTTGCAGTTGCCTGGTAAGCTAGGTCCTTCGTTCCACTAATAATAATAATAATGCTTGGCATCATGAGAGCTGCAACTTTTAAGTATTAGAGTATGAGTCATTAATTTAAGCCTTGTAAGCGAATAACGTGAACACACAATGTAAACAGCACAAACACTTTCAAGAAAGAACAAACAAACAAGCAGACAAACGAACAAACAAATGCCACCGTATCAGGTGAAGACCAAGTTCCTCTCCTCGAATCTGCTCGACAGGGTGCAGTATTCAGTCGAGAACGAACTCAACAGAGATTTTGGTCCCGTGCTTGCCAACCTCATGGTGGGTAATGGTGGTGGTTGTGGTGGTAGAGGTGGGGGTGGCGATGGTCTTTTCTTTTTTTGTTGTTATGCTGTTGCAACCTGCCATTACTACCACCGTTGTCATTGTCATGATCTTCAGCAGCTCCAACACCATCATTAATACCATCGTCAACGTCACCACCACCAGGAGAAGTACAGCAATCCATCTACGTACCAGACGAACAGCCACCTTAGCAGCGTGCAGGCGCAGGTGGATGAGGTGAAGGGGGTCATGACCCGCAACATTGAGGCCGTCCTTCAGAGGGGGCAGAGGTCATCATTGTTGTTGTTGCTGTTGTTGTGATAGTGTTGAGGTAGTTACGATCTTGATGAT